ATAAGAGCAATTATAGAGAATTCAAAATTCTGAAGAACTATGTGCATACACAAGGGCGTAGATTTGGCATGGACGGAAGGGACATGTCCCCACCAATATCCAACGATTATTGAATTGTCCCCACCAATAATTGGATCTCTTCGAGTAAAGAAAAACAAACCCGATAGAAAGAAAAAATGATCTGTCAACGTCTCATTCACCCAGCGGTGCAGAAAGAGTTAAATTATGTTCTCTACTGGAGTCCTACCTCATGTGACCTACCTCTGTTTAGTTTTAGCAGCGGCAAGCCTGCGATGCAAGGACCTGCAAGGAGGAGAGGAGGATGGCAGCAACAAGGAAGAACCTGGATATAAGAAAGTATTTTTCAAAGAAACCTGTAAGTCACTTAAAGCCAAGTTCACTCATAAAATGTGTCTGTCTTAATAACGTTACAGGCTTTGGCCCACATCAGTCTAAAATTGTATGTAACCATGAATAACGTGTTTTCGAAACTAACTGCACAACAGGCAGCACTATTAGTTCTCTCAGTCCCAGAGTAGCATTTCTAATTTTGATTGAAGCTGTCAGAGAAAACGGCAGCCTCGAGCAAGCCAGGATATTAGTTTACAGAGGCTGTTAAAATTATATGTCTAACGTTAAAATGTTGGTGACACAATAATTTCATCCTAATGGCACTGACATATTCATAGGGTTGATTTTTGAGACAAAATATAATGAGGTAGTCATGATTTTGCAAAGATTCCACCTTGTAGTGCAGTTTGCACAAATTGTTTTAAAAATGCACTCACCCTACAAACATTACTGATGAGTCAAGATCTGCACAAATTGACAGAAACACTGAAGCAGCTGCACATTTTATTCTTATTGTCATGTATGTCCTGTTTATCAGGCGACAGAGGCAGCTCTGCCATGTTGTAGCTCAGAGGTGAGGAGGCAAGGTCACAGGTGACTGGCTGATGATTTGGTGCTATAGATTAACTAGTATTTATCATCATAACAATTGTTAGGCTGCTGATGTAAATTGTTTCATTAGTGTATATTTGACAAAGAATCTGAATTGACATGTCTCACTTTTTATATGGCACGAATCAATGTGTTATTTTATCAGGTAGCAATATGTCCTAGTGCAGTCAGAGGGGAAGAGCCAGGGCCAAAGGTAAGGCACATCAAGCACATAATAATAATTTTAATCTGAGGACAAAACGCATGTACTGGGGCTGAAAGAAGCTTTAGTGCTCTCAGAAGACTAAAAAGATGGCTAAGGTTAACAATGACTCAAATGAGGTTAAACAATGCTGCTGTATGTCCACCAGGAGAGACTGGACAGTATAGATGTAAAACAAATATGCCAGCAGTTTATCTCAGTTAACGAGAGGAGAAGGCATGTGTTTGGCTCCTTCACATAGTGGACATTGAGTTGTTGTGTGGGACACCAGTAGTCCATGTTTGTTGCTGTAACAGTAGTTCATGTTTAGAATAGAAAATCTCAGCTCACTGATTTGATTGGGGCAATATAGTGCCTAAAATGTTGCATAATTTTGTTGAGAGATCTTTTACTTTGTGGTAATTTTAGATGAGTAGTTTTATGGACAAAAACCACCAGGTCATTCAGTGTTCCCTTAGTGCTAATGTATCAGAGATGTTGGTGTAGTATAACTGAAGTAAGGTTGTTAAGTCCTTAAAGTCATATTCATGAAGCTATTTTTATTTTTGTATGATACCTGATTTATATGGAATATGGTTGAAGTAAATTAAGCCTAAAATACTTTAGTCAGTCATTTGTTTAATAGTAATTTAACATTATATAATTCACATATAAAACTATGAATTGTAATTTTAAATGGTTTAAAAGCATGCAGAATAGCATCTGTGTGCATGTTGATCATTTTTTAAACACTGATTAGTGCGAACACAAATCATCCAATGTGTGACTACAAAGCAGAGGTGTCAGCCTCGATGACCTTGATATATTTCTAATTAAAACTTCTTATGTTTATTTCCCTGCTGAGTAGCACACAGACTGTACATGACCTACTCCTGGAATCATTTCTCTTGACAGTAAAGTAGCATATATAAAAATATCCGCTCAGTTTCTGTGGAAAACGTCTTATCAAGCGTTCTGTCTGAGCACTGGAGTTTCTGACATGAAATGCTCTCGCAGGTCATGAGCTGGATGTCTGTACAAGCCTGCACATCATATCGGCAGAGTCACAGTTTCTGAGCTGCATGGATCTGTCTGATCTCCACGTTATTTCACACGTGTCTGCTTCCGTGAGTCCTGCGATGGGAGGTGTGACTACATCTCTGGCTTCTGGTAGATAACTTCCCCTCAGGGTTGCTGTCATTCAGAGGTTTTGAATTATAAAACTAATCAGCATGAAATCCTGAAGCCTGCAGAAGTGCCAAAAAAACCAAGACAACCTAAACTATTTGAAAGAAAAGGGAAAATAAAGCAGGTCTGTGGCTCTTCACTCCTCTCCACCAGGTGTGTCTCATTAGCAGGAAATTCACGGGGGTGATTCATCACCTTAATTAAGGCTTTGTTGCAGTACAGTGCTCCGCTTCTATAACCCCACTGTGCACACTGCCTGCTGGCTCCATGATCAAAAAGCAGCCATTGTTGAACTCATTAGTTACGTATTGTTTTGCTGCAACAGAAAGTCAAAATCTCTCCTGTAAACAGCCCTGCCCTGGCCTATTTATGGGCTCAAATTGTGGTCATAAATATTTTGTATTTGTAAATCAGTTTTGTATGTGTAAAAAGAATTTGTGCGTGCGTAAAAAAGATTTGTGTGTGGACTTAGCCAAAAAATATGTATGAAACTCTGCACTCAAGTTTCAAGTTACAAGTATGGATTTTGACCCTATTTTTCTTCCTTTCATCTGATTGGCCAATGTCATGTCAATCACAAATTTAACAATCCAATCACATACACATTACACATACAAATCTTTTTTATGCACACACAAATTCTTTTTACACATACAAAACTGATTTGGAAGTACAAAATATTTATGACCACAATTTGAGCCCATACCTATTCTGACGTTTTTATATGCAGAAAATGTGAGTTTAAATGTCACATTCTTGATACTGTGGATGAATTAAAATCTATGATAAATAAAATATATGACCTTCTGAGAACAAAACTAATTTCACAGAAAATTAGATTGAATCAAATATAAAGAATAAACACAGACTGTTCATAAAAGATGATCAACTTTCTGGGTCTGAGAACTGACTCTGATGTGGAAGTGTCTTAACCCTGCAGTTTTTCTAATGGCCTGCAGGGGGCAGAGCCAAAAGGCTGATTGGATAGAAGCCTACTGGGAAAACAACCCTTTGACTTCATTGGTCTGAGTGCTCAGGAAACAATTTCCTGATGAGTGTATGGTTTTTATTCAAATTTCTAAGTCTTATTTGATGCAACATGTGATTTATTTTGCAAATTATAGTCTACATTAGAGTAAAAAAGGACAATAAAGCCGGGTAGGTGTGCCTCATGACAGGCTTAATTGGTACAACCCCAATTCCAAAAAAAAAGAAAGAAAAAAGGATCTTGTGTGAAATGTAAATAAGAGCTGAATGCAATGACTTGTAATGTTTAAACTTTGAACACTTCCAATTTTAAGACTAAAGAAAATGTTAACGCATTTTAAATTCGATTGCAGCAACGTCTCAAAAAAGTTGGAATGGTGTTAACAAAGGTAATCAGAACCAAAAAGGAAACAGCTGGAAGAATATTCACAAGGTTAATTGGCAACAAGTCCCTAACATGATTGGGCTTAAAAAGAGCAAGAAAGTTTCTCAAAAGTACAGATGGGCAGACACCCATCATTCCACCAAAAATGGATCTACAAATTATGGAAAAGCTTCAGAATAATGCTCAACAAAAAAAAAGTGGCGAGTTTGAACATCTCATCATCTATACGACATATCATCCAAAGATTCAGAGAATCTGGGGAAATCTCTGTGAGCAAGGAGATGCAAAATGGATCTTTGGGCCCTCGAGCCCCAGTACATAAAAACAAGCATGAGTGTGTCATGGAAATCAGTGCATGTTTCAGGAAATCTTCCAGAAACTATGAGGGAAGTGGGAGGACAGGGGTAAAGACAGTTCATTGTGCCACCAAAAAAGAAGTTTCAAGCTTTACCGTGAAGAAAAAGAAGCCATATGTGAATATGATCCCACCGCTATCTTCCGTGGACTGTTACTCATTTGAAATGGACGTGTGACAAAGTAGAAAACTGTTCTGTGGTCAGAAAAACAAAACCAAACCCCCAAACAAACCAAAATGTCAAATTCTTACAATTCATGGATGCTGCACCTTCTTGAGTGAAGATGAGGGACGAGGGTTCTCAGCTCTTGGTCCAAAAGAGGATGGGGTGCATATATTAGTGTCTATGGAATTGGCAGCTTACACATCTTGCGAGACACAAACACTGCTGTACATTTTACAGAAACATATGCTCTCATCCAGGTGTCTTTTTCAGGGAGAGGCTTTTATACTTCATGAAGTTAATGCTAAACCACATACTGCACCTTTATTACAACAGCATGACTTCACATAGAGGAGTCTGGGTATCTGCAGTCCAGACCTTTCATCAGCTGAACAAAATCTGAAACAATCATGAAACCAAATATTTGACGCAGCGACCGAGGACTGTCAGACAAGAATAGGACACCATTCCTCTCCCAAAGGTCAGCTGGTCTCCACAGTTCCCAGATGTTTACCGATCACTAAAAGAAGCTAGGATGCTACACAGTTATAAACATGTGACCTGTTGTTATTCCCATTTTAAAGAGCATTCCAGCCTTTCTGGATCGGGGTTGTAATCGACAGGTAGATGATTATGAGCATGCACCGTTTTCAGTTTCTCACTCACAGATCCAAACAACATTTAAAAAATGGTCCTATCCAGCCCTCTGTGTTGTGATGCGGTGACTAAAATGCATGAACAAGTGCAAAATCAACAAAGAACGAAGCTTTAGAGTATCTCTTATTTGAGGTCTTTAATTCAGTTAGACGCCAACAGTACTGACTCAAAGGTAAACCTCCACATCCCAGTTCATAATTTTATTTCTCAGGTCTGTTGGTTACACAATGATCACACAATAGTGATTTCTCCCTTGCATCATATATATTTTTAACACTCCAGGCGTACTTATATTTACTATTTTTACAATATATTGCTATTTAATTCATTCATTCATGAATCCATCCACCCTCCCCATTCACATGCACACGCACAAACACTGTACAATATCGTTAATTTGTTTTGTCCCCCCCAAGATGATGTTCTGCCCACTGTTAGATGATTTATTCTAAAAACTAAGAAGGTGGCGTGCAGATGCAATACCGGAGGCGATAACCTTTTTGTGTTCAGAGGACCTTGGTCCTGTTTCTCAGCAAGAAAATACAGAGAAGCAGATTCAAAGAGAGGGGGAACGATCCATTTAAACTAAATGTAAAAAAAGAAAAACTAAACAAACAAAATAAAAAAAACAACAACAACAAAAAATATTCTTCCCTCCTCTTCTTGTTCCAGCGTCAGCATGTTTCACCTTTTCTGTCCGAGGGTAAAGAGTCCACAGTTTGGTTTCCTTCTGTTGGTTCCTCAGTGTGGTTCTTACAGGAGTGACTATACAAGTAATGAGATTTACAGTACAGTACATACAAGCTGCATCCAGCATCATAAACCCCCAATACTGCTGCCTCATCTGTAAATACAGCCTACTGGACCTGCTGCTGCTCCTTTGGCCTCAGTCAGTCTGTGCAGTAGTTCAGGCTTGCTTGGCCTAGTAAGTAATAATAGTTTTAGGAATCCAGTGATAGGACAGAAGGACGCCACCTTTGCAGTAAAGTGGCACAAATACAGCTGCGGGAGAAAACGAGACTGAAAAGTGCAAAGAGTCCAAACTTTTTGGTCGATAGTTATGGATGTTTTCATTGTATATTTTCGGTTGGCTTTGTTGGTCTAAGATTTTGAAGATCGGAGAAGTCAGCGACCAGAGAAGCCAGGTTGGTAAGAGTTCAGGATAAGCTGGCCCAGACCGGGGCAGGGCGAGGCTGGGCCGGGTTGACCCGAGGCCTGCCACACTAGGTTAGGAAGAGCTCTGCACTGGGAGAGGAAAAGAAGAAAAAAAAAAAAGAAAGAGAGAAGCTCATCCTGTGGCATCTACCTTCCAAAAATGCTCTCATACTCTAGCAGTATAAGCTCTACAATCTGGTTCTGATACACCATGTGGACCGCCATGTTCAGCGTCTCCGTTTCAGGCCGCAGCAGCGTGGGGCCGAATACGATGGCGACGCTCTGGGTCGTCATACGGTTCTCCTCGCCGTAGTCAATCACTCTGGAAAAAATAAATAAACCCATTGTCAGTTATTTACCGTGCAAGGTAATATGGAAGCCAAAGAGTGCTCAGTACTCATTTGTTAATTAACTGAGCAGTCATCAAGTAGATCAATCTTTTTTATTTTCTTCCATTATTTAACACCTTTGAGTTTGCTCATGTTGAGAATGAAGCCCGCTTATGATTGAATATGATTTTTTTTTAATATTTAACTTTTGTTTTTCTAGGAGGGGAAAAATAAATCAGGGAAAAATCAATAACATGGTGTGCTGCTCTTACTTCCTGAGGTGTTTGAAGAGAGCCTGCATGGTGTCGTGGTTGGGTTTGGGCAGCTGTCTGACCAGCTCTTTGATCGACTGAACTCGATGCTTGTGGTCAGATATTTCTGCAGAACAAAAGACAAAATCCATCACAAAGTTACACCAGCTCACCAGTACAACATCCAACATATCTTTACTTTCAGTGAGACAATGACGAGAAAAAGTGCACTTCAGTTCACTGACACTCATTTTTAAAGCGTTTTCAGAGAGAGGTTTGGTGACTGCAGCTGACCCTGCCTGTCTTTACAGACCCTTACAGTAAATACAGATGAGTCCCTGGATAAAAACCCAGGAGCTGTAGTCCTTGACTGAGTTTGGGTCTTTGCTGTTTGGGTGCTGTGAACCAGCTGTTTAAAAAGTTAACAGGATTCCGCTTAAGGGATACTACAGTGACACTGCATTTATTTACAGATACAGAGACACATACTGATGGCGCTGACAAAGTCGTGGAAGAGACTGTAGGTGAAGAGGGGCTCCGGCAGCTCTCTGAAGAACATCTTCAGGGCTCCTGTGGTCACGTGGATGTCCTCCCACTTCCCGTCTGACAGATTCACCTTCTCATCTGGTGACAAACACATGTGAACACCACTTAAGTATCTTATTGAGAATAAAAGAAAGGAATTCAAGTCAAAATATCTTGTATAACACTGTATGTAAAATATTATGTTCATCTATGACCTGAATGAAGCAGTTTTAGCTTTCTCTTCCTTTCTGTTTAGCTTTTGTCTGGTTGGTTTGAGCAAAAGGTCAATGGAGCTTCTAGAGAGCTGTGTGCTTAGAACATCAACACCATAAAAATCATAGGGTTGAAAAAAAATTGTGAAAATGAGCTCCGTTTGGCTCATAGGGATTACCAGATTACCTGCTGTACTCCTAATGTAGAACTTTGACAATATTTAACATGACTTTAAAGAAATATTTACATTAAAAAGTGAGAATATTTAATACTTTGTAAAGTGTTGTGCCATAAATAGGTGATGTATCACACATCAAATCGTGTTTTTAAAATCGTGTTAAAAGCTCTTTAACTGATTATTATTACAAAAAAGGTAAGTTTTGAATATTTTTCGTCTTTACTTTTCATTTTTACTCCATTATTCACTTCAGTGGTATCTCTGCAATTAAAGGCAGAGGCAGTTTCAAAGGGCACTTACCGTGATTGACAGCAAAGCGGAGTTTCTGTATGACTGCCAGGTTCCCGCTAACTCTGTACAGCCCGTCTACCGACAGACCTGCAGGGATCAACACCAGTTTATCAATATCTGTAAATTAACCTTAAAGTCTGAGTAGCAGAAAAGCACAATCAGCTAAAAGGAGACCACAGTCGCACCTTATTTCAGTAGGCAGTAAACCTCACCTTTCTTTTATGACAGGGAGGAAAACAGAGAGTAGAATGATTTTCTCTTAACAGCAAAGTTACTCACCGTTGTTCTCCACATTGTCAATGCACATTTTGACAAAGTTCGGCACCGTGGTGTTCTCCCTTTGACACAAACTGGAAAGAGCACAGCCAAACACCTGATCTGGAGACAGAAAATAAAGAACGGTCATAAAACAGACCAAACACACTAGTTTGCTTTCAGATCTCAACATTAGACCTCTGGTACTTCAGTGCTTTTAGTTTTTATTAGAGGTTAAGGTACAGAAGGCGAAAACGAATCATAAATTCCTGATTTATGTGTGAAAACTGGACTCTGATGTCTTAAGCCAAAAGTCTTAAAAGTAAAATAAATAACAAGAAACACACCAAAGCTCACGTGATGCATCCAAATGTACAGCTCTAACCTTAAACGGCAAGCGGTGGTTAAAAAAGCACTGATGTGTGCTTCTTTACTGCTGTCATCACATTTCCAAACCTTTGCTGCTTGTAACATCTTTTCAACTTTCCACAGAAGAAATGAAACCGAAAACATTTCGAGTGTTGCTGTTGTTTCTTTGGCACCTTTAATGTATCCCTTGTCCTTGACGGTCTGAAGGGTGGGACGGCCGGTCAGGAGCTTCTTCAGCTTGTGCCTGGTCTTCTTGTGCTCGGCGGAGTCCATGCTGGTTGAGGGCTTCATGGCTGTGGAGGAGACACGAGACAGGACGGTGTTATCCACCATTCGTCTCAGCACGCTGATCGCCATGATGTTTTGGAGGAGTGAAACTGATAAGCTATTGTTTTATAGGGTAAGGAGGGCAGATGAGGTTGCTGAGGCCTTTGACCAAATAGGCTTGTTGTTGTACTTTGTGCTTTCACTCATGTATCCCTTCTGCTCTTTGTTAGAGGAGTCATGCACGTTAGTCATTTACTGCTACTGTAAATATTTGGCATGTGATGATTTGTAGCTACTTTCAGTCATTTTTAGTCACGTTTTATTTCTCGAATCACACCCTGAATGAATGAATCCCACCATTTAACAGCATGCACACCTTTGGCTTTCTTGGAGTCTCTGCGGTCTTTCTCTTTGTCATGTTTCTCTGCACCAGGCGACTCGGGCATGTCCGCCTCTATGGGGTCATCAGACTCACTGGCCTAATACACACAGAAAAAAAAATACACGCACAAGGAAATAAGATACAACCGCTTGTAAAAGTCTCAAAAGGTGCTCTTTGGCCTCTGGAAAGAAAACAATAAACTCTCTATCTTCTCGGTTTAATTTTCACGCTACTCTGCTTTTATGTAGCTTTGAAGTGTTTATTTCCCTTACAGTTGCTGGTTGTAGGTTTTCCATAAATGTGAAATTGCGTTTCATTCAGACCATAAAGCCTATTGTTGGTTAACGTTTTCCCTCAGTGGGTAAAAATGAGCAGCTGCTGTTTAGTTTGTGCTCAGAGCAAAAAGGTAACTGTGACACAGCAGTCCTCTTTGTTTCTCTTATCAGTCACCCGCACAATGTCAAACCCGGACGTATTCCTTCATGCTGAACCACAAATCTTCTCACTGCAGATGATTTAAAATGGACTTTATTCTGTTTGAAACAGATGGAAACTATATTGACAGAGTGAAGGTGTTGCTGCTCACATGGTTGCTGATGGTGTCCTGCAGCGCCTTGAACCAATCGTTGACGATGCTGTCGTTTTCTGACTGGATCAGCAGGTCTGTTCCCTGACGAGTCTTCAGCTGCAGAGAGGCACAAATCATTTTTCTCATAAACATTTTGAGTTTGTGAGTGCAGCACTGACTACTGATTAAAATCACAAAACATCCGAATCCACCAGAGCGATAGTTTATTCTCTAAACATTTTACAATAACTGCTGGATGTCCTGCATATAAGAAATTGTGAGACCCACCAGAGAAGCTTAAACCAGGAAAAACCTGTTGTACTTCATAACTGAGAAATATTAACATCACTCAATGCTTTCTCCACCTGAATATGAAACATTTACTTCAATCAATCAAGCCGTCATAATCTGCAGTAACATACATGTTACTGTTTCAGTAACTGGCTGTGTTTGTTTTGTCATTTATGTATTTAGATGCTTTAGCAACTCACTGGGGACAGCAGAGGAAAATCATAAAACAAATTATAGCCAAATCTTGCACATTTACATGGCACACCCAAGCACTAATGTTAAACAACATGCACAATCGCTTTTTGTTACAATAAACAGAAATAAAAGCTCAGGAGTAAGTGCTGGATTTTTTTGTTTGTGATGGCTTTTTGTTCCTTTCTCATGTTTTCAACGTTTGTTCATAAAGTAAAAAATGTGTTTATTTCATCTGTAAATAACGCTACTAACTTTCTCATGTTTAAAAGAAATTACAATTTCGATTTCAACGCTGTAGCTTTTTCAATAGTTGAAGTTCCTTAAAATGTTTGCACAGATGTATAATATGACAGAGGCGAACAAGAGATTTTGGTCTACAGTTAATAGATTTTATTTTGATTCTGAATAAAAAATGATATGTAAACAGTGACGCCTCATAAAAAGCGATAAAAGCAAAAGACTGGATGTTATTTAAGATCTCCCTCACCTCTATAACGTGCTTCTTGCTGGACTTGTCTTTGGAAGCCCATTCCACTGAGCCGCCCTTCAGATCCACTGTGAACTCTGGTTTCGACTGACCGCCTCCAAACTGGACAGAGACAGAAAAACAATCATATTAACAAACAGAGGGCCTGCTTATATACAGGGGTCTCCTTTTTCTTTGATTGTTGAACCATGCAACAGCTCACATCAAAGAAAAGAAAAAGTCAAATGATAATGGTGCACACGTCAGTCAAGTTTCTGCCCAACTGTAAAAATTTCTTAGCTTTTAAAGTGTGAGGAAGAAAACAGAAGAATAGTTTCAGTCGAGGCCAAACACTTAATGGTGAATATGAATGGAGAGTTGTACTACTTGTATTTTCAGCTTTTTCCTTGCAAGTGTATTAGACGTGGTCGTCCTAGTTGCCTACTCAGTGCTCTGCTGCCTAATTTACTGCTGAAAACAAAGGCTTAAATATGAACTTCCCTTCAAAGGAAAACAAGAAATAACATTTAAAATGTCCAACTGCCTTTACGATAGAGTAAAGTGCCCATCACCACCTAAATCAGTACTAGGGACTCAATGTAATTGCACACACTTTGCTTCAGTATTTCCTTTTCTTGGCACACCAGGTGTCTTCACCCTTCAGCCAATTGGCTGACGAGACTGATGACTTTTTGATAGTAGAGTTTAAAAAAAAAAAAAAAAAAATCAAAACAATAAGAAAAACAAACAAACAAAAAAAACATGCATTTGATCCAAATTCGCATGCATATAAAACGTAACTCCAGTGATTGATCTGTAGTCTTCCTGTGTGCTAAACAAAAACAAAAAAAATGACAAAATCCACCTGTAGCACTCGTTTCACATCAGGAGCTCATAAACCAAAGGCAGTCCAGAAAAGATTGGTTTCACAAGTACATCTAAAACTCAAGGTAATCCTGCTTGTGTAAGAAATCAATAATTGTGCTGCCCTGCAGATCTCCATCCCAGTTTTCCATTTCTAACCAAACAACTCTATGATTAAATTAAATCTACATCCTGTTTGTCAACTCAAACAGTAAAAATACATCAAGTCAACCCAGAGATTAGCAAGTAATGACAGCAATATTGTCCCTTTTTTTGAGTCATGCCAGTGAATATTAGTCAGAGCATGACAGACAGCAGGAAGATGGCATGCAGAGAAGTAGGAAGAGTTGGAAGCACGCATAAGGAAGGAGGAAGAACATACAGAGGAGGCTCGGTTGAGCCTTGAGCAGCCAAAGGAGACATCAGGTTGTTTCTTAGCTGACGGCCTCCAGTTACTCAACAGTGACAGGAGCAATTCAGGGAAGTAGCCGCTCTGATAGTATGGCTGAACAGAGGGATGGAGGGAGGAATGAAAGAAAAGGATGATGGGAGGATGAGGCCAAAGGTAAAGAGATGGAGGCATAGAAAGAAAAGGACACATACAGAAGAGAGAATATTCAACTCCCCCTCAGTGACCTAACAAACAGCCTGAAAAATGTTGTGCAAATTTTGAAGAGATGGGGTTTATATAATAACCCCAGATGCAGGGGAATAAGTACAGAATACAGATTATGAAGCAACACTTGACAACAAGGAGAAAAGATTAACCTAAATGTTAACAGGAGCCATGCTTAATTAATTCAGAAGTTTAACCCGTCACAGAGTTTCTTAACCACCAGCTAACTATATCCAACAGGTAAGGGAACAGTTAGCAGCCAGGCTGCCCTTGAGACTGAGATAACAGAAACCAGATAGTCATCCAATTCAAAAGCTTAAATGCACACAGTGTTTCTTAACACTCCTACATCTGCCCTTCAGATCAAAGGAACTGACCTGCACTATAAATAAGCAGAACGACCTTTCCACTGAGACTGACCTTTTTCAGGCCTCACTGAGTGAGTGAGACTTCACCAAAAGGAGAGGTTACCTCCAAAATATTCCCTAATGTATGAAGTTATGGACTGTGTTAACAAAGCTGCAATCAAAATTGAACTGTACATAATGAAAAGGATACTGCTGGGCATACGTCTAATCATGAAAGTCGGTGTTCGATACAGGCTGTGTCAGAAGCGTAAGAAAGTGAACTCAGATGACAAAGTCCCTGAAGGAGGTCTTTCAATACAACAGAGCAGCAGAGCCACATTAAAGGCCATTGAAAAGAGTTACTAATGTTCACAAAACAGTGTGTGGCTCTGTTTTGATACGAAACGACAGCTTTTAATGGCAGCAAGTTTCTATCACTCACCCAGCTAGTTCCACCTCCCTGTCCTTTGGCAAACAGGAGCGTTGAACCTTGGAGGACGGTCCAGGAAGAAGTCCAGTTCTTCCTGTAACGGATGTAAATAATAATAATAATAGTAACAAAAAAAACCATACTTCATGTACTTAAAACAAGTGCTGAGATTAGAGACAACTACATCATGTACATGCAAGACACAAAAGAATTGGAGAAACATTCACGGGATCGTTTCTATTGTTAATTTACTGAGAGTACTTAACTGCCTCCTTTTTTGTTTTTCAATCTTTTTGTCCTCCACTCATCCGACAGGGTAAAAGACGGACATAGTCACTTTAACATCACCCACAAGTTTATGAAGTCTAGTTTTAAAGTCTTAAGATAAGCATCGTTGCCATCAGCATCGCCGTCTTGCTTTTGAAGCGAATGTGATGAACAAGGGGTGGGTCTAACTGTGAAGCTGTGGCCAGTGACTTGCCCATCAGAAACCAAATAGTATAACCTGGATACATCCTTTCTGACCCTTAGAATGGCCAGCATGTACCAAACAGACTTCAGTATGACCTGAGAGGAGTGACTGAGAACATTAACTCATCTGGAAAATGTTTACTGAGGTGAAATGTATGAGCCGATTTCTCGTATACTTCGATAGGATCTTAAGTCTTTTTGCAGCCTTTTATTAGCTATCCTCCTTGTGGCTAATAAAAAGAATGCAAGTTCAGGTTCTTCTACATTTGCTTCACTTTTCATAGAAAGAAGCTACGTCCATTTAATTTATTTTTTTCTAATGGCGTCTATAGCCTGTATTTCAACTGGTGCAACAAAAAAATTTCCAAAATATTGGAAAAACAGTATCGTGTGTCATGCTGCATTGTTTGGAATTTATAAAGAAAAAAGTAATGACAGCATGCATCAATCTTTAAGTTTATCATTACAAAGAAACCCTAATGTGGTAAATAAAAGAAAAAAACAAAACATCTGCATGGGCTAAACACATTACATCAGCGTCACATAGCAGGCTGTGATACTCATACTCATATGGGAAGAAGTTCAAAAAAGCTTCTAAGATAGACTACCATGCCCTGGATGACTCAGAACCTACACAGACAGGCTGTGAAATATTTGACAGTAAAGAGATGTCCTAGCAGCAGCATGGTGTCCAGAGACTACAGAACGTCAAACATTCAATAATGATGGGCAAAATACCTCTGCTGAGCAGGTAGGTCCTTTATTCAACTTCCTCTCACAAAAAGCGAGAGCAAAGGATAGCGCTGACTGACATTACAGGGTTGGTAAATACTTTCAAGGGTTACCTAGGCAACTGGAGTCTGACCAACCATCAGCCACAAAGTACTACATAAGTTAATTGTTTCCAGTGTGGACCCTCTTTGAGAAAGCAGATTAATTTGGACAAATTGTGGCCTATTTTTTAACAACACAATGATTCCTGGTGCAACTTACAGGGAAATGTGCAAAAAAGCTTTTATTATTATTTTTTAAATCATGAGGGGACTAGCCTAATAAGAGAGACCCTCTGCTGTGCTGATAATAATACTGAGACAGTATTACTCACTGGGGTTGGATTTTCTCTATAGTTCGATTGTCCTATCATCCCCCTGCGGCACTGCTGCCATGGCGGCAGAGAAGGTTAACCTTCACCTAATAAGAGTAGTGATATCCAACCTCCATAATGCACAACGTGTAAGCGACAAACAGGAGCGTCGGGTGTTATGAAACATTTACACACTGACAATGTACAATGTTGACTGATTTGGCTGACCACAATTATTTGATGTAGTGGCAGAGATATCAGCTGAAGAGCTAAAATGGTGTTAAGTCACAACATTAGCTGGTTCTGTAGTTTAGTTCTACTAAATAATTCAGTTTTTTTCACTGTGTAAAATATTTCACTTGTCTCTCCTACAGTCTTCATTGCACCATTATCACACACAGCAGAGTCGTTCACCAACAAAAATAAAGAAGACGAGTTAAACGAGTACCTCTGCAAATACATTGTCGCCTGAAGCTCCATTTAAAAAGCAAATAAATAAATCCAATAGTCATAAATAGGCATCGGCTTTTTCACACACACTAAAGGACTGAAAAGTCCAGGTACGAACCTGTAAGCCCACCTGAGCTACAGCCACCCCTGTAGCTCAGGTGGGTCAGATCAGCCACTAACCAGAAGGTTGGTGGTTCGATCCCAGGCTGCTCCTTGCCTGCATGCTAAATATCCTTGGGCAAGATACTAACCCCATGTTGCAATCCATCGGAGTGTGAATGTGTATGAATGTTACTTAGAAAGCACCTAGAAAAATGTGCTGGTGTGAATGCACAAGTTGTGTAAAGCGCTTTGAGTGCTCAGAAGAGTAGAAAAGCACTATACAAGAACCATTTGTGTCACAAATGTTGGTTATATGTGGAGACATGACCTGAAACTATGGCGAGGCAGCTTCAGTTTATTTTTAATCTCATATATTGAAATTCTTTTATGGGTAATGGAGAAATTGACTGGCAAACTCATCAATCCCTTTAACCATAATATTAATCATCATGCTACTTACTACTACTTACCGCACTTTCTTGCCATTTTCAGTGATCTTTGTCACATTCAGAATTCCACATTTTTCAGATGGCTGCAGAGGGGGAAAAAAATTAATACACAGTTTTAACATTGATTAATTTTGATAATTCCCACAAAAAGAGACAGAGAGAGATGCTGTTTAATCTTGGTTGCTACTGCTGTATAAAAACACCACCGCCACCACCAAACATCCCACCACCAGAATAATAACAGCCTTCAGCTTGCAGGCAAAAAATCCAAAAATCTACTATACCACTTTTCTGAAAGGCAGAATGAATGAAAATGTATTAGAATAAACTAACGTTAAAACTACTTGTGCAACATTCAGACAAACACGGTGATTTTTGGTGAATTAACCAACTCAGGGAAACAATTTCTGACAATATAAAAACTTCTGTGTGCTTAACCAAGGCCAAGAAATGCTTTTATAATCCACAGTGCTGCTTATTAACAGGATTTCCTACACAGGTTTAAGGTATTTGTTCAATGGGACTTTAGTTTTCCTTCAGGATGTTGAGCTTCTTTTATTTAACTGGGACAAAGACCTGTGCAGGAAACCTGCCATACAACATGTGTCACCATCCAACAATCTGAGACCACGTTAAATCCCTGCAGGAGGTGAAGAAGGTGAGGTTAGTGGTGAGTACTAACAGAGGCGGGGGGCTTGGGAGACGAAGGGCAGGAGTCAGAGTCAGGAGAGGGGGGCTTGAGACCCAAAGGAGCATCCTGGTCAGGAGACAGGGATGAAAAAAAGAAACAATGTCAAATGGGCTAACAAAAGAAGGTTAATGAGAATATGATGCAAGGTTAAGGAGACACGGACAACTGAAAGAGGGTGATGGTAATTAGCAGTGAGATTATAATGTGTGTCTAGTACCTGTGTGTTTTCCAGGAGACACAAAAGGATTATTAATTAAGATGCGGATGCAACTACAGTTTCTATGAGGTTTCATGCAGCTATAACTACTTCATGTTCAGGCTAATCAGTACATTTTAAAGACAATCATCCAACATTGCTGCAAAAGTCCAGTTTGTGATTAATGCAAATTATTTAAATTAAAAATAAAATCAACTGAGAGTTAGAAAGGAGGTTTAATAATCACTCCGGTTGTGCGATTACGGTCATGCAGGCTGAAGGAACAGACACTGACTTGGTGTTTGTATGGATGTGGGCGTGCAGAGCCTGTTCGGAAACGCCTGGTTTTTAACAGCCGCTGCAAAGCAATCAGTCTACAACTGAAAATCTTAACTCAACAAATATCTCGGTCTATTTTTAAATCCAGGTGCAGCAGGAAACCTTAAGGATAAGTAAGGTGCATGAGGCTAATAGTACAATTTGTTGTATAGGGGTGTCAGACCTTGTCAGCTGGGTCCTGGACGTAAGCGCTATGTCTCCACTTGGTCAGGACGATGGGCTCCACATTTCTTCTGTCTAGACTGCGGGTCTTTGGAGCATCCCCAGAGGGTTGGGGAGGGGAGTGGTTGTACTTCATTGAAGAAACAAAGAATTGCATGACTTCAGTATACCCATAAACCCATTTTTTCATTAACAAAAAAAAAAAAAAAAACAAGCCTTGCAATAATATATTAAATTATTAGGTGCAGTAGAGGTGTCGCAAGTATTCTCTAGTTATCGCTTGTCGCATTGAAATATGAAGCTTTATCGCCCCATCACGTGTGGTCCATCCTGTGCGGTTGTGCAGCACGTACACTGTGCTCACCTGTACAACAGGTCAGTACGCCATTAATTCTCATCGCTCGACTGTTTTAGCGTCTCACCTTCGGCAGCTCCCATTCTGACCTGGAGCCGTCTGCACTGTAGTAATAAGGTCTTCCCTGGTCATCAACGTGCTTTAACCACTGAGCAGACACACCGAGAAAAATCATTCAGTGGTTTGAATCCTAAAAATGTATTTTATTTATTATATATTAATTTTCAGCCTTCTGTTATATTGTCTTGATTAAGATTTTAATTTATTTTCTGAGTAGATTTGACCTACTTGGGTTTCCTTTTAGTTACACATAAAAGCCATTAAAACAAATTATGACAATAAGAAAATAATAGGTAAAAGTGTGTATAGTTTGGTGTCATCATAGTTTCCTTGTTAACAGGAAACATTTGTGCTGTGCCCCCCAAGCAGAACTTTCCTGCTAACCAAATCAAAACCTGCTCCCACGTGCAGTCCCAGAAACCCCCTGCAGTAAAGACAGATTGGAGCGGTGCAGCCGGTACCTTCTCATTAGTATAGTCACTGACGTACAGCGTGTGACCGTACTCGTCCATCTCCTCCGACCAACCACGTGGCGGCGAGCCATATTGGCTGTCTGACTGGCTAGAGTAGGTAGAGTAGGTACTGAAGCAGGTGTCCTCCGATGACAGAGGCTGCAGTCGACCAATAGAAAGCGAGAGAAAGGGGAGGAAAGACGGCGAGAGCGAGAGAGGGGTGGTCTGCCATTTGTTTAAAAAGAGAAAGAGACAGGAGAGGGCAAATTTCACCACAGCGTTGGAGAGAAGAAAAGACAGTCATGCACCCAGAAACAATAAATCATCAGTAAAACACCCAACACCAGTTTGATTCAGTACAGAGACCCAGAAACGTCAACAGAGTGCTAAAAATGTTCTTGCTTGATTTTGGCCAGTGATGAAGGCAGCTCCTGCACTGTGGCACAGAACAGATGAGGGGACAGTGCCTGCTTTGGGCCTGTAGGTGGCAGTGTGGTGCAGTCATTTAATGAAACAGAGGCTGAGTCAGTATTAGAGATGACTCAGGGGTATGTGGTAAGTCACTAGCACATGTGTGTATGTGTGTGAGCTGATTATAAAAATAGTCATTCACTGTTGATCAGCTGTAGTCATCTCATTTGAACTGAAATACAGCATTGTGGACTTTTACTCATAGCTTTTCGAGGACAAATCATTCTGTTGTTGCGTCAGAAAGAAAACAAGAACTTTCATTATCTCCGAGATATATTCTGTCTGATAATCCAAATCTCCCAAAACAATCTGGCGGGGCTGAAAGAGCAATTCTGCAGTTGCCTCCGTCTGTCTACGCGTATAGCAATGTGAGTGAGAAGACAGCCACAATATGTGATGAAGTACTGCCACGGCATATTTGTTTTCAGTTTAATATTCGTCTCTGACTCATGCTTTGACGCTGGGTGAGTATATATGAACAACTTCTGTGTACAAGCGGGTTTATGTAACTGTGTGCTTGTGAGAACCAGTTTGACTTTGCCAACATTTTTGCAACATCAGGTGATTAATGGCTCACCTGTTCGAAGGTTTAACAGTAACATTTCCGAGTTCATGTTGTTATAAAAATTGATGCGATAACAATTGGGACTTAATTTAGATTAAAGGATTTAATAAAATATAAACTTTGTCAGAAGAGCTGTATAAAGGCTGGCTGCACCTGCTTTATTTTAATGCTTATTTAAAAGGGACAGTACATATTAATTATGCAGTGATTGATCAGAGGCTGACATGTATGGCAAAAAAAGGAAAAGGACCAGACCCTTTATGATCTCTACTTCTCAGATTCTTACAGCCTGCATTTTTACCTGACTTGTAGACTGCTGTCTACTATGTTTCTGATGATTTTCAAGATAAAAATACCTAAAATGAAAAAAGTATTTGATTTCTGTAATGTTTGTAACAGCTATCTAAAGCATTTTTACAGTACCAATGTGATGGGCAGTATCACGTCACTTTTATGTGCTCTTGCTGGGTGTTAAACAATTTGAACTTGCTCCAAACATTTTGATCATCTTACAGGCTTACTCATAGTCCAAGCAGCTGCTTATATTTCTATTTGTTACTGTTTACCAAAATATCTATGGTTACCAAAGTGTCATATACTGCATTTGCAAATCAGACTGGATTCAATGAAACTGCTGCACATTTCACAGCAACACAACTCATTATTAAAATGTATTGTTATCCATCATTTCACATATTAAGCATCTAAAATGATATATCAGTCTAATGTTATGTTTTCATATTTATTCACGAGGCTATGTCACTGCTTGTTAAAACTCAAAGTAATGCATCTTGATACTAGGGCACATGGCTCAGGAAAAGGCAACCCAAAAGTGTTGCCAATGCTCGCGATACTTCACGAACCTCCACTACGGTAAATTGTGTTTACCTCTGAGCTCTCTCCGGTGCTGTGGCTCTCTCCTTGCAAGTTTCTGGTGCTATTGTCCCTGGTTCGAGGTGGCTTCCAGGTCCTCTCCTGGGTGGCGCGATTGTAGTAGAAGTGCCTACCATTCTGGTCCTTATGGGTCTCCCAGTCTCCAACCACATGGAGCGGGGAGCCAGAGGGCAGAGGGGGCTGGGTAGACTGGGTGATCTTCAGTTCCTGGAGGTTGCTGTAGACTGGTGACTCGGGGCGGCCCTGGCCAGAAGACACAGTCTAAGGAAGGGAAAAAAGAAAGAGGGAACTGTGATTCATCTGTGACCGGATGTAAGTCTGTTACATAAAAGTTCCTGGACAGTAAGTGAAGGGGCATGATGTAAAATATTCACAGCTTTCAGGCTGTAAATTCACCAGCTGCACGCACAAGCTGGTAGACATTTTCATTTGAAACATTTTAGAACGGCACGTACATCAAACAGCTCACCCCCACACTCCATTCCTACAGAGTTTCAAATGAAGTCAATCATTTAATCTTCACAGTAGGTTTGAGGTTTACTCTACTCTCTCAGCTGCACTGGAGCATTGAGTAACTGACTAAAGTCAGAGAGAAATTACAAGCTCTACTTCAAGGCTTTGTGAGCCGTGGAGGAGCAGATCATTGAATGAACTTGGAGAAGGACAAGGGAAGGAAGTTGCTGCTGTTATACAACCGGGAGTGGCAATAACCCATGTCAGGTAGAAAAGAGGAAGTTAAACTAGCTCAAGATGCATCCTAAACACTGGGATGAGAGTTTGTCCAACCTCATCTGAACAACTCTGAACACAGAAAAGGACTGTTACTGGTTACTGGCAAACCCTAATGTGTTGATTGACATTTTTACTTAAAAACTAACTGGATAACTACTAACGATAAGAATTCCTTTTTAACTTGCATTGTCCCCCCGTACACATTCAGAAGAAGAAGTTTCTGCAGACAGTGAAAAATGATACTGGCTGGACTGAGCTATTAAAGTTCACAAGGAAAATATGAGTTACGTTTCAGATCCTGTTTTAATTTCAACATGCAGCAATCTGGTCTTGATACTTAAACACTTACAAAAATGTTCCTGTATAACAAGCTGGAAAACTTGACCAACCATGACTCAAATGTTTTTAAGGGTGAGTCTGTAACCGTCACTTTAACCAGTGGCAAACATGATTACAACTCTAACCTCCTAAGAACGTAAAATATGGTGATATTCAAGTGCCATGTGAACAAGAGAGCTCCTGTTCAGTCAAAGAAGAACATTTCTATTGCTGTGTAGTACAGCTCTGCTCTAATGACAGAGCATCCTTTAAAACCCAGATGAACCAGTGATCCAGTCAATGGGCTTCTTGTCATGATTATTTCATGTTGGCATTACAAAGAAGGAGCGCGGCTGCAGAGCGACAGGGCAGAGAGAGGCATGAATAATGCCAGTGCCCTGAGGCCTCCCAACGTTGGCTCTGTGATGTTTTTATTGCATGGGAATCAATGGGGATGAAATATGCAGGAGCCAAGCAAACAGCTGGAGGTACCAAGGAGAACTTGATATTCCGTAGAAGTGCTAGCTGTTCAATACAGTATCACAGGACCACAATATACATACTGTATCTTATTATATAATTAAAACAGTTTCATCCCTCTATTTGTGAAAACATTTCACAGAAGTCCAAACTTTCTTTAAAAGTTTCTGACCACGCGGGTTATCAAGCAAAGCTCTAGATTTCAAAGTTACAGCCAGCATTCAGTAGAAAGCTTCTGCAATGCTGAGCAAATTTCCACCCATTAATTAAAATGCACGACAAATTACCTCCAGTGGTTGACAAATAGTAAATACGTCGTCCTCTTCATGGACTGAAATGGCTCGCGAAAAACGTTTCATCAAACGGATCACTGCCATCGTCCCTGTTTAGTATTTTGAGTGATTTGATTGAAGCTGTCAGTCTGCTTTACTGCATGCAGCGTGCAACACTGGTGACTGTTCTGTGGTCTTCCTGCATAATGCTGCACAAACATGTGATTTAGTGCATGGATCTGTCAAAGGGGAAGTCCTGGTAGTCAATCGACCGTTAAAAAGCCACAGAGGTGGTCGCCCACTTCAGTTTTGGCCACGAAAAACACAGTTTCCTCAAGGCTGCTCGGAAATTTAAGGTTAAGTGGAAAAAAAGACAACTCTGCGAATTCAACAAAGCAGTGTTGTTTTGTTTTTTTCTACTAGACGTACAGCAACAAGCCACATGCGATCCATGTATGTAATGTAGGTAAAAAAGGCTATTTTCCTTGATACACAGCAACTATCATGTCTCAGTGCCTTAAGTGCATTTACTTTGTTTCATTTGTTTAATTGAAGCTGGATCAAACGTTAGCTTCACTGCACTTTGGCAGGCCAGAGTCTTCTTTGTTGTTATAAGCTTTTGCAATCGAACGAAGGAGGATATTTAGATGATGGTGATTTTTGTCATTTCTGATTATATGTGATATACATCCACATCCTTTTACTGCTATTACCTTCATGTAAATGACAATATGCGTGTAACACTCTACATACTCCATCAAATCTGTGCAGGACAAGTAGACACTTTGTGTATTACTGCCAGACCAAAGGGTTGTATTTTTAAAAGAGATGAGAAGTTCTAATGAAACAGAAAACAAGAGTTTGTTTTTGTATCAATTCTGTAAAAACACAAGAATAAAAATCCCCTTCATGCCTGTACCAATCTGAGCATCTCAGGAGTACAGAAAAGAACAACATGCTTATCACCAAAGCTGTATATGCTCTATCAAATAGACCCCTATTATGTAACTAAAGTCTTTACTGCCAGGTTGGCTCATTAAAAATGCACAGGGAGTCTCTTAACTCTGTTAAAGCAGCAGTATATCCCTGAGCAGCTGGTGCCGGACATCTGGTGTTATCAGACTGACCAGCTAATCAATACGGAGCTCTGAAGCCACTGAACATTAAGAGGTTGACCTCTCAGTATGAGGAAGCTGCTCTCTTTGTCAGTACACTGTGCTTTAAGTACAGGTTGCAATGGAGTCAGGTGTCAGCACCTACGCACATTTTCTGCACAGGGATTCCTGCAGTGAAATATCCGAAATAAAGCACTCGCTGTGACATTTTTATGAAGCATAAAATTAGGAGGTTGTGTATTTATGAGTAACCCTAGTGTTTAAAGTGCCATCTTATAATACAGACAATAAGAGGAGAGCTTGTATAATGCATCCGATGCAGCTCAGTGGGTGAACAGCTGATTAAGTTTGCTTTGCCACAATAAATCTGAGCCACTTGCGAGTCAATGCCAGGAACACAGAAACCCTCTACAGTTTACAAGCTGGTAAAAGTGGAAACAAGTGTGGCCTTTGTAGTTATTGAAGGTGGGCTGTGAGAAGTATTTTAGAACAAATGATAAACATTTTTAATGTTTAATTCTTTAATTCTGTCTGAAATGACCATGAACATTTATGATTAAATAAATTAAAGTAAAACAAAAATAAGGAATCATGGGAAATCAAGCAGGCAAATTAAATTAAGAAGAAAGAACCCATTTTAGTGTGCAGCACTAAAGTTTGGAAATGCTACATTATCAGAAACATTTAACGATGTTTTATGTTCTTCCTTGTGGAGGAAAATCAAATATTTCCCAAAACAAATATTTCCAAATATGACAGTGGTCATTTTCAGAGACGGCACGAACAGAAATCATTAAGAAACCAAACTGTGAGAAGAAAGAGGGCGATCGTGGCTCAAGAGTTGGGAGTTCGCCTTGTAATCGGAAGGTTGCTGGTTCGAGCCCCGGCTTGGACAGTCTCGGTCGTTGTGTCCACCAGTAGTCAATGGGTAAAGTGCCTACTGGTGGTGGTCAGAGGGCCCGGTGGCGCCAGTGTCTGGCAGCCTCGCCTCTGTCAGTGCGCCCCAGGGTGGCTGTGGCTACAATGTAGCTTGCCATCACCAGTGTGTGAATGTGTGTGTGAATGGGTGAATGACTGGATGTGTAAAGGGACTAGTTGTTAGGGATGTTAGGGACTAGTAAAGCGCTATACAAATACAGGCCATTTACCATTTTACACAGAGCCGATAATTACACGGGCTGACCAAACCACAGTTCCACCAGAAATTAAGTACAACCACAGCACCCGGTGTACAGGCCACAGTCTGAGCCTGAGGGTTCACTACACAGCAGCAGCAGCAGCCAATTAACAGTTCTGATTGCAGCTCAGCATCTTAATTTCCTATTATAGGCCAGAGCACCGCTTAATGGGTGGGGAAACGAAAGGGACTGAGTGATGCTGCCAGTTCTAAATTTACAGTCTTATCAGCACAGCCTGCAGTCTGAATAATAACCACCCGGCCCAGTGTTATTCAGCTCAGAGATAAACCGCATCAGGACCAGGAAAAACAGAAGAACCTAAGACTCCGCTTCAGGCAGTGAATCCATCAGCGCTAACACTGGAGAGAACTGGCTGCAGATGCTGTTTATATTTAGACTCGTCTGCTGAGAGATTCAGAGCAGTGTGTTCATTTTATGCAAAGTTATCCTGGTTCTCGTAAATATGGGGTCAACTGTAAAACTGCTCAGCTGCTTTTCAAAAACAAATGTCTCGTTTCTAGTCAAATCATTTCAGCAACACTCTGAAAACAGATCAATGTGCAACATTGTGATCATGACTACAAACTGATGATTACAGAGATTATATATATATTAGGCCTGCACAATAAATCGAAAATTTATTGTCATCGCGATATCAGCCTGTGCGATGGGCCCATCGCAAAAGACGGCGTAAACTGCGATAATTGGGTACCTTAAAATGTTTACACACGTGCTTTAAAGAATTTACCAATCAAAGAGAAAAAGGTTAAGGTCGCACCGTCCTTTAGGTGGCAGCCTGACAACAAAGTTAAACCTAAAGAGACGTAACAGTATTGCAGGAGGAATAGGAGGCAGAGGTGTGTCTGTCCACGTTTACCTCTTCTATTTGACACAGATGAACCTGCTCTGCCACATACCTGCAGGGATATGGGCCATGCAAACACAAACACACACACAGGTACTTTGATGTGAATCAAGTGTGCGTGCTTGACTAGTGTGCACACATACAAGTGTGCACATGCCCACAAAAACAAAAATAGACAGGCCGGCCCTTTCCCTCTCCTACTTCCTTGTCCATTCAGTTTTTTAGTTTCACTGGAGGGGTTTTTCACTGCAGTGCTTTACATGGTCATGTTCGGTGGTTACAGTGTATTGCATAATGTAGT